GGGGGTGGGAGTAAGCCGAACGGTGTGGAGCCGAACGGTGTGTGTCTTAGTGTCTTACATCAATCATTTGCTGGGACTGGAGAGCCCGAATTAATCTGTTGCTATTACGTTGGGGCTGAACCCAGCGTTGGTTCCTGGCGTTTTGCAAAATTGCTCCCTGCTGAGGCGACTTGGAGTCTACTCTGTTGACGAGGGTGCTGAGCCACTCTCGTCCTACATTCGTGAGTTCCAGTTGGTGTCCCATAACGGTAAAGGCTCTGAGTAAGCCCTGAATGTGAGTTTCATCGAGGGGGTCCACTTCCACGACGTGGCCATAAAGTCGCGAAATTTCCGCCAGGGTCACCACACGCCTGATGAAGAGCTTGGCGATGAACAGCATCAGCATAATGAGACGTTGACGACGCTGTCGCAGGTTCGTCGCCAGATCCTCTTCATCGTAGAACCCACGTCCTACATGCGAAACGTCCATCAGGTTCGCTGGGAACGACTGAATCTCGCGCAGTAAAACTCCTGTTAGGCACTCGCTAAACAAATGCCGTCCTCGCATGCCGTCGCCCAGCTTGAAGCGGTACTGCAACACCTAAAACCAAGGCAATTCGCCCCACCGGGGTGGGTAGGTGTGGAATGAGGGAGTGTGGACAAGACCGGGAGGGAGTGGGGACAAGACCGGGAGGGAGTGGGGACAGGACCGGGAGGGAGTGGGGACAAGCGCGGGAGGGAAGCTGACCTGCACGGCGTCGGCATATACATCTTGCATGGTTTCGGGGGCGCTGCACGCCGTGAGTACAATGACTTGATGGAACACGGCCAAGGGCCCATCTTCGCCGCCCTGGTCGTCTTCAGGCAAGAGGCCAATGAGCTTGTCCGTGATGAGTTGGAATAAGGCCGGCGTAAGTTTGTTGACTTCTCGTTTGACGGCGCGCCGCAATAACTAAAGAAGACCGATGAGGAGAAGCATGTAATTTAACGTACGTTTGATGCCGCCTGGACTGGGGCCATCGACCAGCACGCCTGAGTTAATCAGACCCCCGAATTTTAAACGGCGCAATGCTCGGGCGCGGCATGGCCCTTCAGCTCTCACTCCTGTATTTAAGCACGGAACTTGGCTATTGGCCACAGTCGGGTGGTTGGCCGCAGCCGGGTGGTTGGCCACAGCTAGGCGATTGGTCACAGCTGAGTGGCTGGCCACAGCTAGGGACGGGCGTGTTGTTGGCGCGGGCAAGTCAGTGCCTGGTGGTGCCGTCTGTGCACGCGAGTCGTTCTGTAGGTGAATGCTTGGACGACGCAGCGCCGATCCCGTACGGACTGGACGTGTCGGTTGGCGCACAGGAGATCAGCAAACGGCTTCTTGGTTGCCAACTGGCGGTGCAGGTTGACGGGGATGTGAGGAGCAGCGGGAAGTTTCCGCTGACAAACCCACTTGGTGTGCTACAAACGCGCGTCACAATGGCGGTGCCGAAGCTGGGGAACGTGCTTTCAGGTTCCGTCAGTGTGGAGGGACGAAGTTGTAACAGTTCGTGGGGATGTCGGACTGTGACTGTAAGTGATGGGCACCGGTACTGGAAGCTGGACTGCGAAGGGTTGGTCAGCAAGCCCGGCGAGCAGATTGACCTGGTGGTATCGGGGGTTAAGCCGTACACCGTCACGCTCATGACCGATCCAGTACCTGAAGGGGAACATGTGAGTCAGGGCTACATCACCTTCCGGCTGGTTGGGCATGATGGGACTCGAACCAGCGATCTCAGTCTCGCGAGCGGAACCAGAACCCCCGGCCTCAGCGTGTCGGCGCGCTTCTACGGTGCTGATGTGGGCCAGATAGACGCCATCAATGTTACCAACCACACCCCCAACGACCCTTGGCGGTTCAAGTATCTTACCGTCAACTTCGACGGCGGTGGCGCCAAATTCGTCGGCGGACCGTACGTCGGGACACCCTTCAGCAAAAGCGTCGTCTTCCGGAACGTCTACGTCACAGATGACGGCTCCGCCTCTGCCGACGCCGCCGAGGTGCCCGTCGAGTGCCACACGCGATTAGCCGACATTGTGTCCGGTTCCGTGAACCTGCCGCTGGTGGTCAAGACGCGCTGCCCCGCCGGCTGCGACAGCTCGCCTCTGTCGCTCGTCAACGGCCTCAGTCTACACGCCTCCACCAGCAGCGTCTGCGCCAGCGCCGTCGCCGATGGCACCATTGGCGTCAGCGGCGGCACAGTTCTCCTGCAGCTCTACCCCTCCGACCACCGCGACCTGACCAGTCTCTATACCAAAATAGGCCTCCTCGACATCCACGCCTACCGCGACGACCCCACCGACGACAGCACGTTCTACTTCACCACCGCGCGCATCACTTCGCTCGACGACCTCGACTCGTCCATCAGAATCGTGGACGCCTTCCAGACTAGCTCGCATACGGGTCGTCTGGAGTTGAGAGAATCAAACGGCACTTGGGGCAGTGTCTGCAAGCAGGGCGAGACGGAGCAGTTCGGCCTGGAGGCAGCGAAAGTCGCCTGTCAGGAACTGGGGTTCCTCTGGGGGTCTTTGCTCACCGAGCAATGCAGCGCGCTGAGTCTCTGTGGGCCCAAAACTCTACCCGTGGTTGCGGGGGGCATTACGTGCAAGGGCGTTGAAGATGGGGTGGGAAAGTGCGCTGTTCAAAAACCAGCACACGTGTGTGCGGACCATAGCGAGGACGTGCTGGTGCACTGCACCGACGTCCCGCCTAACATACGGCCCAGCCAAAGCGCTCTGAGGCTCATAGACAGCTCCGGAGCGCCGGCAGTGCGGGGAATTGGCCGATTGGAAATGTATGTCGCGAATCAGTGGACGACAATCTGCAACGACAAATGGTCGTCGGTGAACGCCGGGGTAGCCTGTCGCGACATGGGGTACACGGGGGTGAAGGACATTGTTTCGCTCACCACAGTTGCCTCAAGTCTCGGGACAGGACCAAGCAAATCACGCCGCGCGGGCGCCGGCCGCGGCGGCGGAAGGGGTAAGGCAGATTTGGATGAAGACATGTGCGCGTCGGTCATGGGCTCCAACTACTGCGGCCGGACGGACCAGCGCATCGGGGTGACCGAGGTTGCGTGCGAAGGATCGGAGTTGAGGTTGCGAGACTGTGCCCTGAGTGCGCCAGAGGACGTATACTGCGTGCACACGGAGGACGTTGTGGTGGGTTGTGACGGTCCCGGCGACCCTTCGGGTGTGGGTCTATTTGCGGCCGACCATGCGCCCAAGTTGCGTTATATACCGTTGAAGCCGACGCAGGCGATCAAATGTTCGGACAGCTTTGACTCGCTTTTCTCGAAGCTGGAACCGCTGCCTGGAGAGATGTTTGTACTTCGGTGTCCCGCTGGGTGCACCCAGAGTGGTCAAGGATCAGTCATCGGGAGCATTCTGTATGACTGGCAGAGTTTGGTTTGCCTGGCAGCGGTTCACTCGGGCATCATCGACGACTCGGGCCAGGTCTTTGCAGCGGTCGCCGGCCACGGACAGTTCCAGTTCGTGGGCAAGGAGCAGAATGGGCTTGTTAGCGAGGAAGGCGCAGCGGCTGACAACTCCTTCTACATCGTGAAGATGACGGCTGATCTTACTGCGCGTATGCCGCTTCAGACGAAGGACCTATCTGTGTTGGGCGGCGGTGGCAAATCGATGCTCTCCGACAAATTTGTACTTGAGAGAGAAAATAACAAACGCACTTTGACAACCGACAACGTAGGAGACGGTGGCAGCACCCTTGGTGCTCAATCAGCAGGACCGATCTCCTTTCTGCAGACCGGTGCGTCAGGTACTGCGGCGACAGGTACGGCGGCGGCAAGTGGTATGACGAGTACAAAGAGGAGTCGGCAGCAGGTCCCGGTGCCGTTGGTGGCTTTTTGCAATGAGGACACGTCGGTGAAGTTTGATGGGTCTTCGAAGGCGCAGGTCACGATGAATGAGCTGCCGGGCGGGCAGTCCTTGTCTTCGTTGTACTCCTTCACGGTGGCACTTCGATTTAAGCCCGACGCGGACGCTAACAGTGGATGGAGGAGCATCGTGAGCTACTCAGAGTGCGACGGGTTTAATATCGTTCTCAGTCCTGAGGGGGAGTTGGTGTTTGAGCAGCTGTGTTCGCCGTTGGTGGTGCCTACTCAGATATTCCCGGACCCGGCCAAGTGGAGTACAGTCAGCGTTGTATACAACCATGAGTACAGCGCGTTGACGATACTCGATGGGACCAAGATTGTTGCCCGAGAAAGCGTGGGCAGCAATGTGTTCCGCTGGAACTCCTTGTTGAAGCTGGGCGAGTCCTCGACTCTGGAGTATGAACCGTTTACAGGGTCTATATCTCATGTTCTCATCTTTAACACTGCTCTGCTCGATGGCAAGGAAGACGTGAGTGCGATCGACATGGTCAACAACAGGCTAGGCGATATATGCAGAAGGCTGCAAGCTACCCAGGCTGTGCCGAACTATTCAGACGTGGACTATAAATTGTGTATATCTGAGTGCGCCAAGTCGACAAATTCCAGGATTAGGAAGAAGATGTCGAGAATACAGCTAGCAAGGGCACCCGCCATTCCCGTCGAGTGCACGAGTACTCTTGATAACACGGTAGCCCTCTCAGGCAAAATGAATGGAATGGTTGAGGTGCTGTGCCCTCTCAACTGCTTTAGCAACCAAACACTGGGTGGCAGCAACACCGGGGTGAACGAGCTTGGCGGACTCCTGACTTCGGCCTCCAAGCCCGACGCTTTCCCTGGCAGCTATAGAATCTGCAGTGCCGCAGCCGTTCTTGGCTTTATTCCTACAGAGAAGACACAGAGGCTCCAGCTATCTATTCTCCCGGGGAAACTCAACTACCTACCCTCTGCCACTTCCATGTCGCCGCAAGATTCTATAGAGCTCAGAAACCTTGCGTCCATGAAAGATATCAGATCATTCACTATCACTGCCCTTACCGAGCCCCAGACCATTCCGTGTAGGGCAACAGCGGAATTTCTGGTATTTCAGCCTGTCGGACACGCGCGTTTGCTAAGATGTCCCAAAGGCTGCCAAGGTAGCAAACTCGACCAGAAAGGCCCCGTTCCCCCACCGCAAAGTCCCTTGATTGAGTCTGCCCGAACAAAGGACGATTCCCTCTTTATTGACGTTCTGAGCTACGCCCCGAGCTTCGTCCAAAACGACGAAGAGACCGAAAGCGCTAAGGGATTGCTGACCATTAGAGACCCGTCAGTTCCGATTTGTGAGTTGGCAGTGGACTTAGGATTATTGACGCCGACCACTGCAAGTGACGTGCTGGTATATGTTGCGGCAAAAACTGAGGCGAGCTTCATCAGCACACCCACCGACCTTCAGTTACCGAATTTACCCACAGCTCAGGATTGGTTGGCCTCGAAAAGACCGGCAGCGGCGTCGTCGGACGGGTCTTTAATTACCTACAGTTCTGTTACCGACCTTATGAATGAGGACATACTCTTTGGGGGCTCAGAGCATATCCACTCTCGTCGGCCTTCCGAAGGTTTGTTGTCTGCCTCGTTTGAACATGACGGTAACACAGGTGTCAAGACAGGTGTCAAGACAGGTGTTAGCACTGAGTGGTTTGATGGCCAAGATGTCAATGGAGTGTTTACTAGTGTTGATAGTGAGTGGACAGAAGCTAGGTCTCCGTCAAGAGGCTATGGTATTCTACCATTGTTCTCATCAATCAGGTGCGCAGATTCCCGTATTGGAGATCTTCCAATCGGCATGAACCTTAGCAGCAAAACGGCGGACCGCTCCCCGGTTGGAGAGAACGCCAGCGGCGTTATGTTCTTGCCAGAATCCGACTTGATGGAGAACTATCATTGTGATGGAGCATCCGAGATATCAGGACGTATTGCTACCCTTCCCGGTTACGTTAAAATACCGGCCTTGGGCGTCGTGGTTAGTTTTAACGAAGAGGGTTGCTTTATTGGCAAGTCAGCCGCCCACACCCGTGAGCCAGAAGGAGACATTTTACCTCGAAGGTTCCAGCTTCAGGTTTCATACGAGAGACTTCAAGGGAGTGTAGAAGACGGCGAAGGCACCATGACACCTTGCTACAGTCACTTCGATGATTTGGACGACCTCAAGGACCTTGACGAAGATCCATACAGTTATAAACTGTACGGGTCATTCCAGAATGTGCTCATTCAGAGAGTACAATGATGCCACTCCTCTGGGTTTCACTCCTGACGAGTATGATTACATCCCTGCATATCACCGCACTCCTGCACCACCGTCACAGTCCTATTAGTTAGTCGGGGGTTTGTTTTGGATATAACAGGGTTGAGGGAATTGTCAACTTCTGAGAAGGACGGTGCGAAAGATCTATTAATCTCGCAGCGGGGTTGTTGGCTCGATATCAATAACCTCGACGTCATCAAGAGTGACGATATCCGCAGAGATCAACGGAATACATATGGTCAAAGGCTTCCTTTGACAACAAAAATCTTTCCATCTCAAGGCCTGCCGAGGGTCCAAAATCCAGACGGTCCGCGTAGGGGTATCGAAGAACCAAAACGCCAAAGCGCTATTATACCTCAATGCGTCCGTTTCCTGCTGAGCCTCCGCCGTTTCCTGCTGAGCCTCCGCCGTCTCCCGGGCATCCACCTTTTCTTCCGACTCCTCTTCAGCCTCCATCTCCTTCTGAATGTCTTTCTCCAGCCTCTCTTTCCGGCAAGCCTCTTCTTGGTAGTTGCCAGCTTCTCCACTGTGCTTGACTGGGCGAGTAGTCGGATCCCGATTCCGAGCAGCAACGTCCTCCTGCTGTTCGGGCGCCTGAGATTCAGCGGCGCTTCCAGCCGGCCTCCCGAGGTTCTCCTGAAGAACACCTCCGGGGTCTTGTTCAGGTTTCAGTTTCGTGCACTCGTGCATGTCTTCCAGAGCTCGCTCCAGACCAGGGCCGCCTGAAATGAAGGGCACACCAGCCACCAGCGCCGGGTCGTCGTCTAGCGTTCGGTCACCTGGCACAGGAACAACGCCTGGCACAGGAACAACGCCTGGCACAGGAACAACGCCCGGCACAGGAACAACGCCCGGCACAGGAAGAACGCCTGTCACCGTCTTCTTTAGGAGCTGTTTGCTCGTCTGTCTCCCGAGCCGACAAAGCTGAGTAATTAGATTCCTTCCTGTCGGATGATGACCGGTCGGATGATGGCCGTTAGGGTGATGACCGTTAGACGTATCGTGCACCGCAACATGAGTCTGAGTGGTAGCACTCACCTGTACGGTCTGGCCCTCCTCTGAATCCAAGGTGGGTCCTATATATCCAAAGTGTTCCTGAAACTGGATATCTTGGATTAGCAGCCTACGGATTTGCAGCGCTGCCTTGTGACCTTGTCGCTGGCAGGTGACCGGAGAACTCAGACCGTCCGGAAGCTTACCGTCCCACGAGGTTCCATCCCGTGGGGTTGGCACATCCCGTGGCATTTGCCCATCCAGCATTTGCCTCCGCATTTTGACTCATAGAGGCCGAATTTTATGAGGTCATTCACGCTTCGTAACGGGGGCAGCGAAGGATGGCACCCGCCCCACGCCTCCTTGAAGTTTGAGACCGCCGAAGTTGAGTTTGTAAGGGGTGTCGATGATGACGGGTGCATGGATGATGGAACTATAAACTTGAACCCCGGCAGCGGCCGGTTGAACCCCGGCAGCGGCCGGTTGAACCCCGGCAGCGGCCGGTTGAACCCCGGCAGTGACCGAGGGGCGAGTGGAGTAAGTCGGCGGTACGTAATTCTGCCTGACGACGAGATATACTATGAAAGGGTTCAGCAGCTAAAACGAGATATGGCTCATGACTATTTGGAAGTTACAGGCGCCAGTTTGTGGACCGTCTTCAGCACCCTAGCCAACTATAATTCCCAGCACCCCCGTGAGCGTATCCATGCGAGTTCATCTGGCTTCAATGATGCTTACAGCCCCTGCCGAAATGAATGGCAACTCACGGATTCCGCTGACGTGGGCTCCAAAAATTATGCCTATGGCATCACCACTGGGTCTGTGATTATTTTGAAGCTTAACCTTGCGACATACCAAAGGCTAGGTGTCGAAAGTAAACAACTGAAGGGCCGTGAATTTAAGGACCGTGAACTTCGGTACCTTGCCATCCCGCTTCAGAGGTTCAATTCTGCCATCAATCCCTTAATTAGTCCAACTTCAGAACTTCCGGAAGGATCGGAAGCCAGGCCTCTGGAACCGCGACTGAAGACCTTGTTGTCGGAGTTCTTCATACCTTGCTATTTAAGTGGCAGTGATACCTTCCTCAAGTTCTGCGAAGCCCAGATGTTAACAACACCATCCCTGGGTCAAAGGTGCTCGACCAGTGTCTCTACCTTCTTGTATAAACCAGGCACTCTGGCACCCTTTCATCTATTCAGATCTGGTGAGGATGAGATGGCCCAAGAACGATTTGAGGTACCGGTACCGGACCTCAGACTCATCCACCAACTCCACCAAGCAAAAAGTATTGCTGAACAATCTCCTGCTGCTCAGGAGGTTGCCGCTGCTCAGGGGGTTGCCGCTGCTCAGGAGGTTGCCGCTGCTCAGGAGGTTGCTGGCTTCGGGGCTGCGTCACTCGTCGAAGAGCTTGTAGAGCTGGTGGGGTGTGTTTCGAAAAACGTTTACTACGACCAGGTCGTCCACGACGTGACCGTTGGTTACGGCGCACGATGGCCCAGCAACCGGTACATGGTGGTCTGTCAAAAGGGTGAAGGTCTTAGACAGTGCCCACAGCTGGGGGGTTTCTCCGGAGCTGCACATGCCCTAGCGCCGCTGGTGCCGGGCTCGTTGGTGCCCCTCAGGGACACACACTTCATGGCTTGTATAGAACACATTCCCAGAACGTCGGTGTTATGCTTTCAAGGGAATGTACACTCTACGGTTAGTGCGTGTGCGCAACTGAGTTCTTTACAAAAAGCCCGTTCCGAAACAGCCGACCAGACTATCATGGTCGACGAAGCCTCGGTGAGGGCGAAGCTAGTCCGAGTGACTGCTTTGTGCCAGGAGTGCGGACTCCACCACCAGGCTAACTACGGTTGCTGAACTCCCTCCAGGATCTCGATATCTTTTGAGTCATTGTCATTTGCTTGTTAACAAACGGCTTAATATGCTCGTACCAAATAGACGCTGCTCCCTGCACACATTACATATTATACGGGGTGTGCAGCACAGTGGGGTGTGCAGCACAGTGGGGTGTGCAGCACAGTGGGGTGTGCAACCAAGTGCAACGGTGTGGGGTGTGCGGCGTGCAACAGTGTGGAGATGGACCGGGAGGAGAGATGGACCGGGAGGAAAGACCTACCCCGTGAGTGGGTGACGAGAGATAGAGAGAAATAGACATTCTAATCACGCGGTAGAGGGGCAGGTTGGCGCATATGAAGTTAAGTGGAAAC